TTCCTTTTACAACAAACCAGAGCATACAATCACATATGCACACTCACACACAGTGTAAATGTAACTAAACTTAAAATTTTATTTAGTATATATGTAGTTAGACTTACTACATATGGCACACTGATATTTCCTATTATATTTCAAATGGAAAATGCTAGTCAGAACCCACTGTTCTGATTTCATAGCACACTGAGGGATCAAAATCCATAGTTTACAAAATACTCTTTTAGAGAACCTCCAAGACTTTGGTGTCCAATATAATTAGGTAAATATTTCTTAAGTGTGTTCAAATGATAGGTTTACCACTTATTTTAGGCCAGTTACTTAATCTCTATAGCCATGAGAACCCCCAACTATAAACTTAGAATAACAACAAGATCCACCTCAAGTCATTTTTACCAAGATTAAGTAAAGATAAAAATTAGAAAGTGTCCATTATGTGATATACACTGAACATGTTAGTTCCTTTCCATGTACTATAAAGGTAATGCACTAACATTCCTTTTTCTAAATGGAATATAAAATTCATCCAGCAGTGGAAAAATATAGAATTGCAATAGGAAAGAGGAATGAACCTCTTCCTGAGTGGAGAGAGCTTAGAAGGTTTTGGTGACTATCAGGCCAGGACTAAGCCCCACTTCATGCATTTGAACAAGAGCAGCAGGACAGCCAAAGAGCAGAGGACTAACTGCTCCAAGGACCTTGTCCTCTTCCCTGTTGTACGTTCTCTGGTTTCAAGGCCCCTCACTGGCTTGCTTCTCCTGTGTGGGATCCAGGCTGCTCTGTTTATGTCCTCAGAGTGAGGACAAATGGCAACCTGAGACTTACTTGGTGCAATTTGACACCAATGGCCACTATTGGGTGAGAATATGGGCAAAGGAAGACCTCATGGGACTCCACCAATTCCACCATTAAGAAAGCAGATACCTCACCCTTCTGTTCAAATGTACACCATAAAATACAGTTTGCTCCTATGGTTTCATTCATTCATGCATTCATTCATTCATGCATTCACTCATGTTTAGAGAAACAAGGAGGCTGTGACATGGCTGGGAAACCCAAGCTTCACTACATGAATGGACGACTTCGAATGGAGCCCATCCGGTGGCTCCTGGCTGCAGCTGGAGTCGAGGTGGGTTGTGAGTTCTGTCATCTTAAGTTGAATCTAAAATTGACTGTGGTGAAGTACTTTCTCACACAAGCTAGCAGACTTTCATACTACATGGCCTGTGAATGGTTTTGCCTTAAATAAAAATACTATGCATATTATGAAGGAATTGGACTACTTGACCAATAAAATTTTTAAAAATCCTGCAATTGTAAGAGTACAGGAAAAATTAAAAGAACATTTTAAAGGAAATAAAAGAAACAGCCACTAAACATAACTTATGGACCTTGTTTTGATTTTAATAAACAGTAAAATATTTATGACACATATACAACTATTGATTGAATATTAGAGGATATTAAAAATCATTGCTAATTTTTTTTTTTTTTTTTTTAACATTTAAAACTTTTTATTTGAACACAATTCTTTTTTTTGAGAGTTTTACAAATTTTATTTTTAACACACACTAATATATCCATTTCAGCAAGCAAGAGTAGGGAGGGCGGGATATTTATGACTCTGTGTGGGTCATATGTAGGTGCAGGAGGTTGTAGGAAGCTGAGTCTAGAGTTGCTTTTCTCAGCTACTTAGTTGTCTCTTATGAGACCTGAAATGGAATAACAGGAAAAGAGCAGAAAACAGGAGCCTCAAGCAGGGATAACAAAAAAGTACTAAATGCAGGGGAGAAACTAAGGGTAGGAGAAAGGTACAAAATATGCCTAACAGGGTTTGGCTGGCCTGGGACTCAATCTGCTGCTGCATCAGCTGCTACTGCATGGCTGCGGGTAGCTTCAGCATCCCCGAGGCTGCTGGAATTGGGCGTATCCTGCCAGGCCTACAGCCATGCCAGCGCTGCCTTTCTGGTGTTGCTGCAGCTGCTGCTGTTGTTCTGCAGCATCCCTCTTTAGTGACATGCTTACAGGCGAGGGCTGGGACTGAGTCAGAGGCCATGGTGTCTGGGGTGTGTGGGGCTGCTGGGGTGTATGGGTGTCCAGGGTGGTGCTAAAGGAGGGGGAAGGCAGACTGCTGAGGCACTTTATGGGTGTTCATGGCGAATGAGCTACCCTTGCGGCAGCTCATTCTTGTCCAGCTGCTGGCCCTGGCGGAGCCGCTGCTGGCGGAGCCGCTGCTGGCGGAGATTCTGCTTGATGTGGAAGCAGAAGGGAACGGGGCATGGGTTTTCTCGGCATTGCTTGGCATGGTGGCAGCAAAGGGCGAGGAGCTGCTTGCACATTGGGCAGCCTCCATTGCTCCTGCGCTGGCAGCTCATGGTGTGCTGCACAACGCGCTTCATCTTCTGGCAGGGCGCCTGCGGGCAGTTGGCGCTGCGGCACTGGGAGGCATGCAGCAGAACTTGGATGCAGCGCTGGATGCTCTGGGTCAGAGGCTCCCGGGGGCGCCTGGGCACCAGCTCACCCGGGTTGCCAGCCTCAGCGCCCCCCTTGGCCCCTTCCTCCAGGCCCAGCCCCACCTTCACCATCTTGTGGGTGTGGCCCTTCGTGTTGTAGCAATTGATGCAAAGGTTGTAGTCGTGGCACTCAGTGCAGTGCCAGTATACCTCCACCTCCTGCTTGCACTCACTGCAGGTGTGGCGGGGGGCCTGGCCCTGGTTGTGCAACATCACGGACATCGACATCGCTAAAAGCAAAAAAAAGAAAAAAGCTTGAAGAAAATTGGCATAACTTCTGGTTCCTCTTAGTAGCTGCCTAAAGACCTTAATACAATTCTTAAATTTTATTTAATATCAGCTACAACCCCAGTTCTTTTCAAACATCAACCTGTGGTTCAACAAGAAAGAAAATATATGTAAACTATAACTCATTTTCTGTGTCATTTAGGGAAAACATATGACATCATATAAAGGAAAGTTTCAAGATGGGATTGAGCTTTTAGTAGTGGCATAAAGTCTTTGAGTGGTCAAGGCAGCAGTTATATCTTCCAGGCATTCTTTTTTTTTTTTCTTTCTGTCAGAGTCCTGACAAATTTCTGAGCGGATCTGTGAAATCTCAACCTCAATGCTCCTGATTCTTCATAATTTTACCACTTACTAAGAATCTGAATGCAAATTTCAGGTGATTTTTAACCTCATTTCTTCTCAACAAATATGGCTTTGTTAAAATATACTACATCCTGACTAAGAACCCAATCTTAATTTTTCTTTTTGCTTAACTGACATTGACATTGCTGACCTTGACCCAAATTCCTTTTCAACGCTAATTTGCCCAGTTATGAGGTCTCAAGATTTTTCTTTTGACCTAGTTAATCTAATGTCAAAGATAACTGTGAATACTCAAGCATTCCATAAATCTGAAGATGTTGAAATGCTCTCCTATTTAGGAAACCAAATGTAAATGCATTTAATTTTATCATCACAATGACCTTCTTATAAGTCACAATAGGCTCGCATTTGAAGCGAGTTTTTAGTTCACAAGTTTTTCTTTGTCTGGGAGTATTCACCATCCTTGTATATTTATGAGGTGACTTGGTTTTCTCAGAGTAAATACCTCTGACCTACTCTTTTCCTTTATCACCCAGTTCTATTGGAGCTTTTAATGCACCTACTGTCCTTCAGAGGATTTCTGTCTCCTTTGTTGTTTGACTTCAGTTGATATTCTAAGACCTGAAAGTCAGGTACTTCCAAAGAGGAGAAATAAATTAAGAGAATTTTTTAAATGAATTGTTTGGATAATGGTTTCATTGCATTCATATTAGGTGTACGAAAGTGTGCTGAGTCTTAATTGCTGCTATAGAGCAATTACCAAGGCTATAAAGAAGTTATCAGCAGTGTTCTGGGATAAAGAAAAAAAACATATTTTAACTATGCATAAAATGAAAGTTTCCTTGTTTATTTCCACTCATGTTCTCTGTGTATAGAGTCATGCACTCATATCTTGAGAGGCTAACAATCAAACTTCCAACCCGACTCATTACTTCCCTTTTTTGAGGCATATATAATACTTTGCTTATTTGAATTCAAGTTTTTTAAATTGGAGACAAATTACACGGTTTTACTTTGAGGAAATCTTGCATCAGCCCCTAACAGTATTCTCGTACCTACAATACCCCTGGGCCACCAAACCACAAACAGGAGTCTGTTTCTCAATTTTTTTTTCTTTTATACCATTCGGGGTAGATAGTGCACTTCTATTTGACAGATAATAAAAAATATACTTGAAGAGATAATATGTGGAATATATACTGGGATACAACTGAAACAGGGATTTTAAGGGAATATAGGCAGGCTTAGGGAATTTTTAGAATTGGGGTCCATGGAAAAACACAGAGAGAGGGTACATTTCCATAATACAAGGTAGCCAGGTGCAGTTATATTCCCATAAGACAAGGGAACTGGAAGTAGCTAAAAAAGGTCTATATTTATAAAAGAAAGGAGGAGGAAGAAAGCCCAGAGGGAACAGGAAGACCATGAGGGAGGAGGGCCTCAGGAATCACTATAGTAACTAATTGGAAAGGGAATATTGACCAATCAGAGGGGATATCAGGACACAGGAACTGCAGCCTTTATAAACCATGGAAACAGGAAGTTTGTGGGACCCTTTCCCCTTCCCGACATGGGAGTCCACTCTGTGGGACTATTTCCCTCTCCCCATGTGGGAGTCTGTACTTGTTCTTCAATAAATCTCCACCTTTTCTATACCACCGTCTGTCCGTGGATTCATTCTTTGACTCCAGCAGACAAAAAGCCCGGGTTCCAGTTCAAAAATTCTGTATCACAACTTAAATGTAACCTCTGACTGAACATCAAAGAGTATTATGGACATGTTGCTACACTAATAAGAAATATTTGCTGCCTGTTTCCTAACATGCAGGAAAGGCTCCAAGAATCAGAAGGAGCCAGATGGAGATGAAAACAAGAAATGCAGCTGGCCCATCTGCCAAACACACTGACTCTAGCATGCAGTCTGAGGAGAACTCAATGACTTCCCCTGGATAATCAACCTTATTCCTGAAAGTAGTCTGTTCTCTTGGCTTGCTATGTAATAAGCTCATAAAAATAAACATTTACCAGGCATGCTATATATTGTAAAATGCAATGCCATGACTTTTTTTTTTTAGCAAGAATGGTACTGTTATTCAGTTGCTTAGTAATATTTTTCCTACTTGCTCTTGTGCAAACTGAATCTCATTTGTTCTTTTCTGCCTACAGACTTAACTTATTTACAACCAGTTATATCATTCTCTTTCCAAACTGTGTTTTATAGCTCCTTCCAAATTGATATGATCTGCCAATCTAATTCAGACCCTATTTGCCCTGTATTTATGATCAGAAATCTACTTAATAGAGCCAAGACTCATTTTCTGGTACTTCAAAGGTCCTACTTTCATCTATCATCCTCTACATTTATGATCTCTTAGTTTGTTTTTAATCCATTTTACTGTGTTCTTATCAAAACTTATTTGACAATTTGTATACATTTACTTGCACCACTACATCAACCACCTTATTGAAACTTAGGCATTTATTATCCATAGTTCTCGCTCCATACGCTAATTTCATAATCTGTCAAAGAAAACCCACCCACAAACAAATCAACTTTGCCCAGCATGATTTACTGTAAATGATTCCACTGTGTTTATTTTGCGTGATTTCATTGTTTTCTAGATGTTCACAGAATTTCTCTCATGCAGTTTTATTAGTGACTAAGTCGTGTTTTGTGCTTGGGGAAAGGCTAAGTGAGTCTTTTGAGGAAGGTGTTATTAACTCTTTCAGGTAGAGTAATTTAGTAAAAGTAGCAATTATAGATGGACACATACATACACATGCACACACAGAAACATAATCAAATTCTTGCACTTCCCCATGATGCCATGATGTGAACCCAACAACAGTAAGAATAATATTTTAAGTTTTTATATATCTTGTCCCCACCTACATGTTCCTTTAAAGGTAATTAAATTATTTAAGAGAGTCATTAAATATTTTAGTACATGCATTCACAAATTTCCAAATATGTTAAGAACTCCTGTGTCTACTAGTTATTTATTACATCACAAGAATCAAACTTTTGC